GTTCTCTGTTACAACAATGAATATTGCCTGAACTCAGTCACTGTTCTCTGTTACAACAATGAATAATACCTGAACTCGGTCACTGTTCTCTGTTACAACAATGAATAATACCTGAACTCGGTCACTGTTCTCTGTTACAACAATGAATAATACCTGAACTTGGTCACTGTTCTCTGTTACAACAATGAATAATACCTGAACTCGGTCACTGTTCTCTGTTACAACAATGAATAATGCCTGAACACAGTCACTGTTCTCTGTTACAAAAATGAATATTGCCTGAACTCAGTTCACTGTTCTCTGTTACAGTAATGAATCATGCCTGAACTCAGTCACTGTTCTCTGTTACAGTAATGAATCATGCCTGAACTCAGTCACTCCTCATAAATGTAACAGGAATCTGTTGTATTCCTGATAAGTCTAACCGGAATCTGTAGTATTGCTGATAAGTCTAACCGGAACCTGTAGTAGTCCTGATAAGTCTAACTGGAACCTGTTATATTCCTGATAAGTCTAACTGGAATCTGTTGTATTCCTGCTAAGTCCAAATGGAATCTGTATCCTAATATATCTAACCGGAATCTGTAGTATTCCTGATAAGTCTAACTGGAACCTGTAGTATTTCTGATAAATTTAACCGGAATCTATAGTATTCCTGATAAGTCTAACTGGAACCTGTAGTATTTCTGATAAATTTAACCAGAATCTATAGTATTCCTGATAAGTCCAAATGGAATCTGTAGTATTCCCGATATATCTAACCGGAATCTGTAGTATTCCTGATAAGTCCAAATGGAATCTGTAGTATTCCCGATATATCTAACCGGAATCTGTAGTATTCCTGATAAGTCCAAATGGAATCTGTAGTATTCCCGATACATCTAACCGGAATCTGTAGTATTCCCGATATATCTAACCGGAATCTGTAGTATTCCTGATAAATCCAAATGGAATCTGTATATTCCTGATAAATCCAAATGGAATCTGTATATTCCTAATAAGTCCAAACTGAATCTGTAGTATTTCCAATAATTCTAACCGGAATCTGTAGTATTCCTGATAAATCCAAATGGAATCTGTAGTATTCCTGATAAATCCAAATGGAATCTGTAGTATTCCTGATAAATTCAAATGGAATATGTAGTATTCCTGATAAATCCAAATGGAATCTGTAGTATTCCTGATAAGTCCAAATGGAATCTGTAGTATTCCTGATAAGTCCAAATGGAATCTGTATCCTGATACTTCTAACCGGAATCTGTTGTATTCCTGATAAGTCTAAATGGTGCACAATTCGAACCCCGATACTCTAAATTACTAGATGAGCGTGTTAGCTAAAACAGCTAAACCACTGAAGGAAATACCACAATTTAGAATCTTCCTGTTGTTTCCAACAACATCTTTACCATAATTAAACAGCAAGATTTACTAATTTTAAGTTAGCCTTTCAACATTTATGTCAGTTACCGGTTTCTTTTATTTAGGTAAATACTGATTTATTTGTTTTGCTTTTCTACATAATAAAGTAAACCAGATTTGGGTTGCGTTATAAGCCTTCTGACTTAACGCTGAGCAAAATACTGATTTTTTTTCTTCCAAGGTGAACGCTTAAAGTTCGACTGGAATTTTGAGAAAAATTAGCTTATAAAGTAAACTTTGTCTGAGGTGTAAAATGAGTAGACGAACAAAATAACTGAATAACAATAGACTTTTTGTTCTACACTCCTACTCTGATATGTTAAACCTTTTTGTTTAATTGGAACATGACCTGAAATAGGACAATAACTTAAAACAGTTTTATGATTGAGTAGGTATAATCGTAAAGAACAGTTTAATTGTGAAAAAAGCTGGATCCTTTACACTTCACTTGAGATAAACAAAAAAAAACACGTCAAAATATAAAACTGGTCACATTAAAAACGATTAGCTAAAGATATGCAGGTAACATTAACAGTGAGAATACAACTGTATCAATTATTTCTGCTCATAGATTTATAAGCTATGAACATATGATTTATGCTGTATTCCAGAAGGCAGGGCACACACTAATACGTGCTAAAAACATAGTTCAGTGGGATAAATATTACCATCTGAACATGTAGACCATAATTTTAATTTTCGTTCCATTAATACGCGATTGTTAAGTTTAGTTATCTCCTGTGTTTTTTGTGTTTTTTTTTCATTTTTCTTAATGCTTAAACATTTATTAAACAATGAGATATTTGGCTATATCACAGTGATGTAACGTTTTAATGTTTTCTTCAAACGACATTGTAACGAAAAGCTAAATGAAAAGTATCAAGCTTACCGACTAGATACCTTTCTCGTATATGTATACAAATATCTCTACTTATAGAGACTGAGCTCACGACATGGAGTCGAAACGAAGAAGCAAAACATAAGAAACGCCAGCTGTTTCTTTACCATTCTGTTTACAATAGCTAGTCACAGTAAACGTATAAACCAGTATATGTTTCATAATGATCTCAAAAAGGTCCAGCGGCCTTACAGTTGAGATGACGTACGACTTTCTTCGTCCTTGTATTATTTGGTTCTAGTAAAGCACTCAAGTAATACCACTTCAATATGTAGACCAATAAATTGGCCGATTGTCTTTATACCAAGACATTAGTTTCACCAGTCGGAGGCTTTCTCTTCAGTCTCGGAATTCGTATCTCATTACAAGCTAATAACCAACGTGATCATGGATGTCAAAATGATCATCAAAGTCGTCACAACTCTTCTTCCATCAGACGTTGCATGACGATCACCTAGTGGAAGAAAGAAAAAAGAGGGTAACTGAAGGACGGTTTTTTATTCACTTTGCGTGGTTAGTCTATTTACTTTCACGTTATTGTTTTTCCCGCGAAATGACATGTTTAAACCCACTTTTTAAATCCAGAGTTTCCTTGCCATTTCACTAATGTCTTTCAAAGGTAATGACGTGGATAGCGTGATCATTTGCATTTTAGTAGAACTTTAGTAGAATAAACGAAGAAAAGTGTTTGAAAATAATATTATTCTAAAGAAAACGATACTAGAATAATTGTAGTATCGCATTTTCTCGCTACAAGTTGATTTCCTGATCAAGAAATCTTGAGAAAGAAATGGAACGTTGTAAAATATGAGCCGTTGAATTCAAAATCTTGTTTGTTTGCAATCCTAAACCTTTTTGCGTCGAAGGACGCCAAACTGTTTATACTGTGTGGTTTTCCTAACGTGCATTAGTACAGCCTTCAGCGCGTGGCAACAACACGTGGACACGTTCTGCAGGTGACAAGTACGTAGAAATAAAGATCTCGTAATCCTACTTACACGCACAACAATATCAAACACGTCTCTCGCACCTGATCTTTAGAAGCCTCCTACCGGAGAAACAAACAAAGTATGTATCAAACAAACTTAAATTAAACCTGGGCAATCTGTTCATGGGTATTATAATGTGTTACTTCTCTTAAAGTTGGATTTAGCTTAAAATCTACCCTACTTTCGCTTAGAGGTTTTTCTCACTTCTTATTTATTTCAAATAACCAATGAAAAACAGTCTTGCTACAAGCTTTTGCGATTACATTCCTTTTGCTATAAAAATATACATGGAAATAATTGCTAAAGGTACAACAACTTGTTTACACCTAGTAACTCGAGAAAAATTAACGGAACTGAGTATTTGTGAACAAATTTATAGTACTGTTTCAAAATACACAATGTTAATTCTAACAATGCAACTACGTTTATTTTAACCACTACCAAAGACATGTTTAAATATCTTTGATTAAAAAATAATTGTTAGTGAAATATTGCTAACAATTAATTGATCACATCACAATTATCCAAAATATAAACAGACACAACTTATTACTGTAACAGAGGACAGGGGTCGAGTTCGGCAAAAATCATTACTGTAACAGAAAACAGTGACTGAATTCAGTCATGATTGATTGTTCTAACAGAGAACAATGGCCATGTTCAGGCACAATTCATTATTGTAACAGAGAACAGTGGCCATGTTCAGGCATGCTTCATTACTGTAACAGAGAACAGTGACTGAGTTCAGGCATGATTCATTACTGTAACAGAGAACAGTGGCCGCGATCAGGCACGATTCATTACTGTAACAGAGAACAGTGACTGAGTTCTGGCATTATTCATTGTTGTAACAGAAAACGATGACTGAGTTCAGGCATGATTCATTACTGTAACAGAAAATAGTGACTGAGTTCAGGCATGATTCATTACTGTAACATAGAACAGTGACTGAGTTCAGGCATGATTCATTACTGTAACAGAGAACAGTGACTGAGTTCAGGCATGATTCATTGCTGTAACATAAAACAGTGACTGAGTTTAGGCATTATTCATTGTTGTGACAGAAAACAATGACTGAGTTCAGGCATTATTCATTGTTGTAACAGAAAACAATGACTGAGATCAGGTATTATTCATTGTTGTAACATAGAACAGTGACTGAGTTCAGGCATGATTTATTACTGTAACAAAGAACAGTGACTGAGTTCAGGCATTATTTATTGTTATAACAGAGAACAATATTACAGATTAAGGTTGGACTTATCAGAAGTACAACAAGTTCCACCCATATTTATCAGGATTTCTCCAGATCTTGATCAGTAAATATGAGAACAATTGTAAAATTTGTTTTGGACCAATCAGGAATAGTAATAATCCTGGAGAAGTTCGCTCTTCGAAATGTCAAATATATTAAAAACAAACATTCTATTCTGGGTCAGTTCTTAGAGTTACAAATATTTTATAATAACAAAGACCCGTAGATTTATTTACCGCAGTCCAGTTCATCGTTTGAATTATTAGTAGTTTCCATGTTCTTAAAATGAACGTATATTTCGAAAAGAATTCAGAGAAATAATATCATCGGCATTCTTCCTTTCTGTAACCTGATTGGTCTATAAAATCAGAATCCAGATATGATTGGTCATTAAGCGACATCTTAGTTATTTTTAAAACTCGGCTTATGATGCTTATTAGTGTTAATAGTCTAAGAATTTTCACTTGTTTCCCTTCATTTTTTTTTTTACTGCATAG